CGAGCGGGAGGAAGAGGAGTGGGTGGATGGGGAGGATGACGAACCTGGCAGGATGACTGCACAAGTTGCGGGAGGAGTGAAAGGAGGGGGAGGACAACGAACCCGAGGAGGACGAGCAGCAGGACTCCACGAGTGGCAGCAGTGAAAGGAGGGGGGAAGACAACGAGCAGGAGCAAGAGTAGGGGCAGGAGGAGCGCGACGAGGACAGGGAGGACGGCAGGCAGGAGGAGAAAACGGGAGGGGGAGGAGCAGGACGAGTGGGAGGAGGAATGGGAGGAGGGACAGGGGAACGAGGTGGAGTGCGGTGAACGGGACTAGAGGAAGAGGGGGAAGGCAACGGGAGCAGGGGGGAAGGCAACGGGAGCAGGGGCAGGACGAGTGGCAGGAGGGCGGTGAACAGCAGGAGGAGGACAACGAGCGACAGGAGGACGTTGATGAACGGGAGGGGGAGGAGATTGGAAGGCCTCAGGAGGAAGAGGCATGGGAGGAGAACGACCACAAATGCAAGGAAGAGCGGCAGGAGTGGAACGAGGACGGCAATGAGGAGCACCAGGACGAGGGGGGGGACGACAAGCTGCAGGGAGACAATGAACGGGAGGAGCGGTAGGAGGTGGAGTGCGACGAGGGGTGTGTGTTAAAGTCGATGATGCAGGAGGGTATAAAGAGAAAAAACAGCCAACAGCAGATCACGTGTCATTTTTGACGGGAAAGAGTGGATAGACGGAGAGGAATGGGCCACGGGAGTCAGATGCAGCAGGAATCATGTCACATGCCACCAGAACCAAGAACCGACCTCTGAAAAATGGAGCAATGATAGCACAGCGGAAGACTGAAATACCAACAATCAGACCTAATCAATGTCGTGACAAAGACTGAACACCAATGCCTTCATCATCATGCAGAGGGAGCGACCTGACGCCAATCATCGAGACGAAGGGCTCCAGGTAGGAGCTCATACACGGATGAGGAGGGAGGAGAGACGAAGGTGGGGGAGATATGGAGAATGTCGCCAACTCAAGATGTTGTCGATACGGATCCAAAAAATAGTCCCACGTAATGTCTCAGCCCCAATGTCAAGTCTGAATCAGACTGTCGCCAAATCCCAATGTCTCTCTCTCTCTCTCATAGTCCGATGAAGAAGAAGGGAACCAGGGCGCTAGAGGGGGAGGAGAGAAGTGATGGACTGAAGGAGGAGGAGGAAGAAGATCTCTGTCTCTGTCTCTCTCTCTTCTGCTGCGAGGTATCGCAGCTGCGCTATGCTAGCGTTGAAGCCCTACCGTTATCATCGACTACAACTACTACTACGGAGAGTGCCTAGCGAATGCCTGAAGAATGCCTGCCTCAAACTGAGGCCGACCAGCTGTATGTAGTACTGGTCCAGCCTCAGGCTTGGCCTTGACGCCTAAATGCAGCACCCAATGGTACCGTGGATGTCTGGCACCTAAACTGGCACCCAAACAGTACCGTGGCCTGCGGATGGCGCCCAGGGCCTGTGCCTCCTGGTGGAAATGCGCCCAGGGCCTGAAACGGTGCCCAGGGCCCGTGCCCCCTACTGCAGGCCCAACTGGGCCTCTAAGCGGGGGCCTGGTGCTAGTGAAACGAGCACCAGGCCTGGTACTACGTGGCCTACTGGTCCTACTAACCCTGCTAACCCCCTAGGCCTATGGACAGGGCCCTGCGAAGGGCCAGTGTGGAACAGAGAATGCCACAAATCATGTCCAAGATCCCGGGGAAGCGAAGGGTGGGGGGCGTTATATGCTTCCAGGAAGAAAGAGGAGGGAGTAGGGGAAGGAGCGGATGGAGAGAGATGATGCAGGAAAAAACAGCCAGTAGCAGATCTTGAAGAGAAAGAGTAGATCGACGGAGAGCAACGGGCCACGGGAGTGGGATGCAGCAAGAAACAACTATCAATGGCAGGATGAACACGGGAACCTGCCTCCAGGAGGAAAGAGGGAAAGAGTGGGTCAATCCACGGGAGGATGAAGACGGGAACACACTTCCAGGAGCAAAGAGGACGATGGGAAAGAGTGGGTGGAGAGAGGAATGCCCACGAGAGCGAGCTGCAGCGTGGATCAACGATCTGCAGCAGGGTCACACAGAGAGAAAGTCAGTGATGCCCAAAAAACAAAACCTGGCTAACAACAGACTGCCACGTGAACCCATGCACATGTGTGATTGTTTTTTATGTGCATTGTGGAAACGAGGGAGAACGTGCCCGTGTGTATGTTCCTAGATCGGCAGCCCTTGCGAAGGAAAATAAAAAAATAAAAGAAAAGAAAAGAAAAGAAAAATCTGGTTGAATCAATCGATTAATATTTCGATCGATCAATCAACTAACTTCAGTCAATTTCAAGGAATCTCTCGTGAGGACATGAACACACCCAGCTCATTGCTCTCTCTCTCTCTCTCTGTCTCTCTGTCTCGTACAAACCGAGGAGTGACATGTTGACTCCTCTGCCATGTGGAACATGGGCCACCTCGGTAAAAGATGGTGCAGGAACCCTTCCTAAACTTTCCCCGCCTGCTCTGCCGTGATGGTGATTAAACCTTCGTATATCCCTTCACTTGCCGTTGGTACAAACACAATTGCCCTCGGACACATTGCCCGCACTACACTTCGGGCGGGTCCACTTGCTGTTTTCAAATGTTTGTGGTTTTCGGTTGTTGACAACCCTTAATTGTTGTGTAACCCTTGTGATGGATTTTCAAGAGTGTCTTACTGTCTCGCTTTGCCTTAGATGACCAGTACAGAATGTCCTATTTTGTCGAAATGAAAACGTAACTAATCCGGGCCTGTCCACCCCGAAGTGTCGAGCCTGCCAGCCACAGCGACGGGGATGAGTTCACTGTGCATAATCTAAACATATCTGCTGCAGGATGGCGCTCTGGTCTTGGATTCTAATGGCAAGCTCTAGGATGGTCCTCTTAACAAATTACCTCTGAACTTCCTATCTGCCATTCTCTGCGTTTTCCCGTCCTTTTCTCATCCATGATGGGTGTCTGATCCTCTTGCTCCAGCATAGGCTCCGAGACCCTGTTGTAATCACCCTGTGTAACAACCGGTGTTGCTCTCGCCCAATGTCTAAGAACCGGCCTACGATGGTAATAAGTACAGCATGGTGGGTACGAGTATATGAGGACCTGAACTGCCTCTGAATTTACTCTCTGGCGTTCTCTTCTTCTGGCTCTTTGTTGTCAATGTTCTTTATCGTGGCGGGCTGGCTCCTTGTGTTGCATCAACCTGTGTCCATATGTGAAGAGCACATGCCGATAGGGAAGCTCAACCTCGGCACACAGTAAACACACCGTGTGTGAGACTTCGTAGCAAGCCCTGTCAGATGAAAACTGTTCTGTCTCTGTTTTGTTACTTAGAATGTAGGTTTTTGAAGATATGGGTGCACAATTTCACAATTGCTTGGAAGTGACTACGACATCCGAGGTCATCCAGCTGTCGGTAGGCAGATTAACGTATGCAGATGTGAAAGTGACAAATCCCTTGGAGTTTCATACAGAGACTGTCAGAGGAGGGCATTGTTTATGGTGAGTTTGGGTTTGTCCGTAGATCCAGAGAGGAAGATAACAGGATGATGGTGATGCTGCAGACACTTACCAGGGAAGCTCCAGCGTATATGGTGCAAGAAATTTCTTGGTCGGATATGGAAATGGGATGTTGTATCTGGAGTTGTGGCCTGGAATGTCATAATCAAATGACGATCATGATAGAGATAACGTCAGTGTTGAACTGCCCTGACCGCAATTTATTCTTGTTGGACCTGTGGAGAGCACACATCCTCTGGACAAGCTATGCACGTCTCGGTTGGTGTTTTGCATTCATTCCGGTGACTGCTGGAACGTTGCGATTGTGGCATTGGAGAGAGCTTTTGTTCAGTTCTGCCCTGTTGATGTGATTGCAGGGGCGGCCAAGAACAAGCCACACTGTGAACAACAAAGTGCGGGACTGGTTAAGCCGGCATCTTACTGCGCAGCAAGATGAGGATGCCAACCTGGTCTGGGCGTGCTCGCTGGAGACTATGGCCAGCAAGGTGGGCAAAGGAAAAGATGGGAAAGGCAGGGAGGGCCTTGCTGAAGTCGGCAGTAACAGGAAGCCAGAGGGGAGAAGAAGCAGAGCGGGGCTGAGTGACCAACTGGGGACAGTACTTCCTGGTTCTTTTAGAAGCACTGACAAGAAAAGCAAGGGAAAGGTGATTGGCAAAAAAGGTGGAGAGGGCGACGATCCAACATTGCGAGGAGGTGATGGTTCAACAAGCGTGTTGGAGCAGAGTGAGTGTGCTGTAAATGGGTTAGAGGCAATCCCTGCTCAGAATTGTGCTTCGCAGGCGGGGGAGGGGAAGGCGGCAGTGCCTGTTCCTCCTGGTGTGGACCGAGAGCTTGCAGTTGCTGCTAGCACTGCTCCAATTGTGGCCAGTAATGGGCGTCCTAGTGTACAGAAGGTGAGAATAGTTAGGAATGCGAGGGGGGGGCTCGCAATCAATCCGGTGGTTAATGCATGTGTAGATGAAACCAATTCCTTGACCGACGATAGAGTGGAGGGTATTCGAGAGAATGCAGAGCAAGGGAGGTCCAATGTGTTTGTTGAGAGTTCAACAAATAGCCAAGCTGAGGGCGATCCCACTCCGGGATGGGAGGAACCTGTGGTTGCAACTGTGGACATTCTTGATGCAGACGCGGCGTCTGAGGATCGGAGGCAAAGAGCAACCAATTGTGAGGCGAGCACAAGTGGGAGTGAAGAGCCTTACCGGAGTTGTTCAGCCAATGGAGGGGGCCAGTCAAGCACGCATAATGCGTATGGGCTTCATTCTTTGAAGGTCTTCTGGCCAGTCTTTCCTGTATAGTCTGTCCAACTAGCTTGCGTGTTTGTTTATCCTTTTTCTCTAGGATTATGAATGTTGTCCCTTCTTTCCTCATGTAATGAGCAAAGGACTATCTGCGCATGGGTTGCTTCACCGAGGGCTTTACTCAATGTTGTGTGATGTGGAGGTGATCGCTGCTGATCCACACTCAACTAAAGTCGTTGCGGAACATCCTGTTGATGACTTGACTGATGTGAATTATTGGTATGGGTTGGGGTTTTCCCAGCACAAGCTTTCGTCTGAAACACCGTTTGAGTCTCTGTAATTGAACTCTTATCCACGTTGGTAGTCCTATTGGAAGCCATTCTGTTGAATCATTCTCTCTCGAGCCATCCTTGTGTGGGTTACCTCTTGCGAGAAGTCTTCCGTCTACGCTGGCTTGCACGTTGCATCTTCGGAGCTGTTGAGGTTGTTTGAAGTGAACGCATGTGCGCAGTGCTGTCTTGAGCTTCGTGTGCTGAAACTTGATGGTTTGTTTGCAGGAGAAAACACATTCTGGGGTTGAAGTGCGCCGATCTAAAGGATTTCGTGAGCCAAGACGTAACCAGGGAGAGGATACCAATTCGCAGGGAGTGCTAGAAGTGATTGGAGCTGCGGAAATGACAAAAAACAGTCTGGGGAGTGGCTCTGGAGTGGCATGTGCGGGTGACCCAAGTTCCCCTCAGAGGGAGAACAAGCTTCTCCTTAGGGTATCCCTGCCATCGCTCGCAAATGCCCGAAGATCCCGAAATGTTTCTGGTGACACGGCTGGAGATCCTACTTCAGAAGGGCTGAAAGCGGTGAGGCCCAGAGTCTCCGTGTCCGCAGCTGCACTAAAGGTTGAAGATAGCGGGCAGTCGGAGGTGAAAGCAGAGCCGAAACCAGTGGTGAAAGCAGAGCCAAAACTGGAGCTGCTGAAAGCCGAGATGAAACCAGAGCTGAAACCAGTCCTCAAACCAGAGCTGAAACTTGAGCTGAAGCCAGAGGTGACGCCTGAGCTGAAGATGGTTGAAGTAGGGGATTATGAGGACACGAAGGGGAACTCCAGGAGCAGGATCGATGTGGCTGATAGCGTGTCACAGGTGGAGGACAAGGACAGGGTGGAACATTGTCCAGGGCTTTCCGAAACGGATGGGAAATTGGATAAGAATGCAAAGGCTCAGCGTTCCCCCTGTGGAAATGGTGATGTCCGCCGCAGTTGCGAAGACGCAGAGGAGCAGGGCAGCAAGTGTAGGGGCAGGCCTCCTACGACAGATGCTGGGGTAAATGTGAAGCACAGTGCACAGCAGGTGGGAGGCTGCAGTGAGAGGACTGTTGTGAAGGTAGAGGTGGAGAACACTGGCAGTGTGTGCAGTGATCGGGAATTGTCTGGTAGTGACTGCGCACACCGTTTGAAGGCGAGTGAACTAGAAGCTTCCCAGAATGGAAAGCGCTGGTGGAACAACGGGGACTCGGGCCTCAGATCCATGGGGAGCAAAGATAGGTCATCCCAGGGCCAATCCAGAGTGTGTCAGGGGGATGGTTTTCAGAGTCAAGTCATGGAAGGAGTTGGAGACTCCAAAGGTGAACGGATCAGTATCCCAAGGGTGTCTGTTTCAGTCGAAGAGGAAGGAGCAGATGCACGGCTGATGTGTGTGTCCGAGACAGAGAGAGGGGGTTCTCCACCGGGATCACCTATGCCTACGTCTGCACTGACTCTTCCAAGCGGTAATGAGGATGACGCTCCTCTTCATACAGAAGCAGGGCTGTCGGGGGCAGACCAGTAAGTTATATCTATATATGTTCGTTGCTGAAAATTCGTTCAAAGGCTTTACTTTGTCTGTGTGTTTCCTTCTCTTTATGCCGTTGCATTGGGAACTGAGCTCTTAATCAGCAGTGGTGGGATGATGGTACAATGGGCTGCAGATTTCAGTTAATAGTTAATGCTGATATTGCAGAAATGATAACCTTGCTTATCAAGCAATCCCATGGTCCTACTATGCAATGATCAGACCTCAGAAAGTGAGAAGTTTACAATGGTTGATAATTTACATGGCAGTCCCCACCAATGA